CATTATTTAAAGTCGGATAACATTTTCATGCATTTTCATTTTTCTAATGTTGTTTTTGTTTCTACCAAAAAATTTCGCCTTTTGATTGCCCCTTTCTCTTTCCATGTACGATTCTAAAATAAAGGCAAAATTTTGTGTTAGTTTCTTAAAATGTCACAGTCTTGTTGTAAGGAAAAAAATTCACATTCTCTGCTCTATGAAGCTTTGTCAGGGGAGAAGGTTGCCCTGAAAATCAGATGGTTACTTAAAAAAAATCATGGGCTAGACAAAAAAAAGAAGGAAAAAGACATATCCTTTCACAGGGTTGAGTGTAACATCAAACACATTTTGCACCGTAGAAGGGCAACGTTTTTTTTTTTTTGGAAGAAGCAAAATCACCATACCGGAGCTCAAGATGGCGATTAAAGGGAGACGAACGCGAACGGTATAACACATTTCTTAATGCATCAAGCCTTCCAAATATATTCACATGCATATGTATGCACATAAAGCTATAGTCAAAGATTTAGCAACAAAACTCAAAATAATATTGTTTGCAACTTAGGTTTATTTATTTATTTTAAATAATTTTCATTTAAAATATGATTCACTCTTTGACAGAAACCACATTTACAAAAGTTTCTAAGCTTGAAAAAATTTCACGAAAATTAATCAAACTTCAAAACACTTTTCTTCTTTGACTATAGTTGTAAATTCGGGTTTTAGAGCCTTTTTAGAGGAATTTGTGATTTATGAGCATACGTTGTATGTACATGGATATATTGCACGCATTATGTATCTTATAAAAAGTGTTTAAATGCTTTACTTTCAAATTAACTTTTTTCGAACTTCTTTTTCGCACTAATTTCATTCGTTTTCACATTTTCATACGTGACACATCTTTGATTATTTAAATTACGTTTTCTTTTTTTTTTTGATTCCGTTAATTCAAATATCTAGTCTGTTGCCGTTATTTTGATTTTCTCTCACCAAATTTTTTCGCGCAACTGCGCATGCGTGCGTTTACTTTTGCCAAACTCGACTGCACCGTATCAGTGCTAAAGAACATTTGCGCATGCGCCAAATAACCACTTCTCGATGCTAGCAAACAGCATCACAACACAACCCAGCACAGCACAACAAACATCACCTGGCAATGGCCATGAACGAAATTTTCCTTTCTTGTTTTTCCGTTTATAGCTGACATTCTCTTTTGCGGTGAAATGCAGGGAAATAAATTCTAAAAAAAAAACCGCTACTCTTTTTGTTGCAACATAGACAGCGAGCACAGCAGACTGGCGCTGAACCCCGTGCGAACAAGGTTGTATTCATTTGTACATACATATGTATGCGTTGTATATATGTAAATGCTTATATGCATATATAACTGGGACCAAGTATTTCTTCTTAGATATGTACATATGTATAAAAGTGCATGCATATGTGAATTAGGTTATTTGTCGATTGAGGAGCTGTTGGCGTTTTAAAGTAGGGCAAATGCAAAATAAACACCTGCCGAAAAGCAATCTCAGGCATTTATATTGCAATGTTTGTTGTAGATTTATGTTGGCGGAACCCCTATAAAGTCAAAATGTTTGTTGTAGAGATATCGATAATATTAGTTAACGATTACGTGGAGAAATGTGTTTATAATTGATATATTCATCGATTATTCTTTATCGCAAAAAAATCGATAATCGGTGAAATCGATTTCAATTTTTTACCAGTATCGATATGTTAATCGAAATCATATCGCTGAATTCTGCTATCGATAACAATATTTGTCGCGCACTTATTAATCCGGCGGGTTTGGTTGTTTCGCCACTCGCTAAGTGTTGGCGAATTGAAGGCGGCTTGTAACGGGTCATAACTCAAAAATTTGCACAGTTTTTAAATGTTTGCAATTTGAGCGTGCTTTTGCCTGACATCTTATTGTATCATGTTTCTATTAGAGATGGGCGCGGGATATCGGGACCCGTGGGACCCACGGTACTGATTTCAAATTGGCCGGGATGGGCGGTATCGGGAAGGTCTGTGAAATTTTGCGGGCGGGACGGGACCAAAATCCTTTCCCCGATACTTCCGATAAGACAACCTCAGAAAATTCGGAAAATTTCCTTAAAAATGATGTGTGAAATATGCACTTTTTTTGTGTTATATTGGGACGAAAACGAACAGGACAGCAAAACAAAATAATCGGAAGATGCCAGATCTATCATTATTTTTTTGTTATTCAAAATTAATTTGAAAGAAATGGGAATTTTTCTTAGTGATAGAATTCGGGATCCACGGGACCCGCGGTACGATTCTGAAAAACGTCGGGATGGGCGGGATCGGGACTAAGTAATTCGCTAAGTAATTCGTGAATTACCGTGTTTCCACGGCACACATTAGTAATTCGTTTGGCAGCTCTAGTTCTTGTTCTTCGCTATTTATTATTATTTTTGTGTCTGCAAATATCGAAGATGGAGCTAAAATTTAAGTAATCAACAATTTTAATTTATATAGAGTATTTTATTAATATTATTCTGTAACAAGAAAAAATGCCAGCGAATGGGATCAGGCCGGTGAAAACTTCGATATATTTCCGATAAATATTATTCGATCTGAATTACCTACAAATGAGGTAATGCGCTCTCTAAATTTTGTATGGGGAATTATGTAATTCGGTAGGTAATTGGCAAGGCGAATTACGAATCGTGGAAACGCCGTATAAAGAAGTATAAGCTCAGGCGACACCGAACTTTATATACCGGGCGGGCGCAGGTATCAAATATCGTCGTTTCAACTTTCTCTGAACTACCTTGCATGACAAGTAGGGGTGTTTTCCCGATTTCAAACGTTTCCGATAATATGCAGAGTTAGACTTAATGATATAATTGAACCAAGTTAGATACAAATCGATAAAGTGGTTACCGAGATACACCTTTGTAGTCAAAAAGTGGGCGGTGCCATGCCCAATTCCTAAAAGTCTATAGCAGTCTTATTTATTGTTAGGAGATTGTTGTTACTATTGACTTGGAGTAAATTAGCGTCCTCAGTTATTGAAATATCGCAGTTTTCGTATTTTTGAAATTGATCAAAGTTAATATACCCATGTGCACAACTGCCTGCTGTAATAGTTCAGAAAATGGTTTTAAGGCTGGAGCATTTCTGAAATGGTTTTGTACGTGAAAAATCTAACTATCTATAGGGATGATTGTTAAGTTAATTTTTCTTCTCTTAATGCAAAATAATTATAATAATGATGAAATTGTATTTTTCTCAGTCAAAACCTGCTCGCATTTTTAAAAATCTGCATTGGGGTTTTAGGCCAAAAAATTTATCTTGCACTTTGACACGTAAAGACTCCTGACTTACCGGGACATTAGACATTAAATTCTCCTCTTTCAATTTTTAATACACTCACACTTTTTCCCTAATAACACACTCTTATTTTATGAGGTGGGGATAATCTGGCTGGCGTTGAGCCGCACATAGACCGGTAGGTCCTAGGTTAGGTAGGTTGGTGCTCGTTTTTACGCGTTAGTGTAAATTTCACAAAGGATGCAACGTTTTTTGCGAATTTAAGTAGAAATTTCAGCCCTACTTTTGAAATGTCCTCCAACTTCTCGAATTGGTAGGGTTCCCAAGCATTTTAGTCGGGTTTCTGACAGTGCAGGACATCGGCAGAGAAGATACTTCAAGGTTTTCCTGGTTTCCCTGGACTCTCGCTTACGACACTTCCTGCACCTGTCTACGCTAGGGATACCCATTTTTTATGCAATCCGGTAATAACTCTGCAGTCTTCCTTTGATAGCCGTAACAAGAAGCGAGTATAGTTGCTTCCGCCGTTTTGCTAGTGGTTAACTCATTCCATCTAGTCCTGAACTGCCTAATCATATTATCGTCTATTTCGTTGTACAACTGTTGAAGTGGAGTCTACGAATGTAGTTTGTTTGCACGAGAGTTAGACTGGTGGCATTCTTGGCAGTCTCATCTGCTATTTCATTGCCCTCTATTCCCTTATGGCCGGGCGCCCAATAGATATGCAGCCTTCTGTTGGCGGCCATCCTGCCAATGGCTGTGAAGGACGTTTATGAGGTTATATGAGGTAACTGCCTTAATTTCCGCCTGACAATCTACGTATAGATTTACTTTTGAATTGATTGTCGATTTAGAGCCGTCCGTGAAAATGTTTAGGGATCTAGGGCTAGGTTTAATTCCCTTGCGCCATCCCTCCTCCTCAATCGTTGTGCGAAACCTTCGTTCCCACTTAAAGCGGGCTGCCTGTGCTTTCCGCCCAAATTGAGCTGTGCCCAAAGGTTCTAAAATGGATTCCACCATGGTCGTCAATCTACCTGCGGATTTAGCAGCACGGTTTTCCGCGAGTAGGACAAGGGGCGGTAAACTGAGGATCATCTCAAGAGCAGCCTTTGGAGTGGACCTCAGCGCTCCCGTGATGCACAGTGCTACGAGTGGCTGAACCTTCTCCATTGGCCCGAAATATGATGACTTTTTCGTAGCATTAAGCCACACCAAAGCGCCATAGGGCAGTATTGGGCTGATTATTGCTCTGTAGCACCAATGCGTCAGAGCAGGTGACAGATCCCAAGTGACTCCCAGCACTCTTTTACATGCATAAAGGGAATTACTGGCCTTCTTGACCCTTTCATCAACATTGCGCTTCCACAGCAGCTTACTATCCAAGACTACTCCCAATTACTCTGTGTGGTCTTTAATTGACAGCTCGCTGGTACTGGTTGAGCCCCGCTCGAGATGCCCATTGGTGAATGACTTTCAATGCGCTGTTCATTACATTACTGATAGAGGCTAGGTACTTCCTGTTACTACTTTTTTGGCTATGATGCCTTTTGATCACTTTGGTCATATCTAATCGATATGTTAATTTTAAAGGCGTGAGTGTTAGGCATGGGGCCCGGATGTTTTTTCCATTTTCATACATACACACATACATGCCAGTTTTTATCGAATCAAACAGAATCTAATTAGTTTTTATTCTTTTTTCTTTATTTTTCTAGATAATACGCTAATTATGTGGTCCGTGGAACAGCAAAATGAATTCAGACGCGGAAGTTGTGTTAGAACCAGCAATGAAAAGTGAATTCACTAATCGAGTCAAGGCCTGATTCTCCTATTTATTTAGTTATTTCAACAAGTGATGCAGAAGTAGACGCATGAAACTGCCAGATGCCATAAGCCATAAATATATGACCGGAAATTACCATCATACATACATACAGTAGTGGAAAAAGAACACCATGTTTTTACAAATTGTGCCTATTTTTTCATTTATTTTATATTTATTATTTTTTTATAAAAGTATAGCTCATTATCTAGCAAAAATTTTAAAAATTCTGCAATTACATCTAAATTTTTAACTTTTTAACACCCCTTTTTATTTGAATTTTTTGCCGCATTTGCTTCCATATAACGAATAAACACAACTTATTTTTATGTGGAAGAAAACCGCAACGCCTTTGGTAAAAAAACGATAAATTTTAGCTACTTGAAACTTGCACATTATTGTACCAAAATTTAATGGGCTATAAAAGTGTATACTCAAAAAAATTCTAACACTTTTGAGAAAAAAGTTTGAAATTTAGATGAAAATTTTTTGCATTTTTTAGGTTTCTACAAATATTAAGGATTGATTTATATGGTTTTGGTTAAATAATGAATTTTATTTCATTTGAACATTTTTAGAAATAAATAAACAAACTTTGAAATGGAGGTGCAATTTATATGACCGATACTGAATATGGTTTTTGTTATATGACGAGCTTAACTTTTAAACGGAAGAGAAAAGGCAAAATTTGTAAAATTGTCGTGTCCCTATTTATTTTTCGACCACTGTAACTACCAACAGAAACATTGCTTATAATTTTTTAATTTCACCGATAGATTGCAGAAATTTTCACTAATTGATTTTTTCTCGCAAACTTAAGAAAAGCGTGGTCGAAATAAAAATAGCCGCACCATATTTTGACAAATTTTAACATATAATTTTTTTTGCTATTTAATTTTGGTTATTTTTATAAAAATATGGTTCATTCTTTAACAAAACCCGTGTAAATCCAAGTTTCAAACTTTGTGCAATATAAAAAAAAAAATTCAACAAACTTTCGTAAAAATTTCTAACTTTTTTAAATAAATTTCCTAAAAAGATTCTGGTATGCAGTTTTGTAGCCCATTGAATTCAAGTGCAACAAAGTACAAGTTTCAAATGGCTAAAAATTACGGTTGATTTTTTAGAATTTTTTTTGTCCAGGATGTTTCGGTTTTGTTATATGGAAGCAAATGTGACAAAAAGAATTCTAAAAAATCAACCGTAATTTTTAGCAATTTGAAACTTGAAAACTGCATAATCAGAATCTTTCTATAAAATCTAATTAAAAAGTTAGACATTTTTACGAAACTTTATTGATTTTTTCTTAAATATCACACAAAGTTTGAAACTTGTATTTACTCCGGTTTTGTTAAAGAATGAACTATACTTTTATAAAAAATTAACAAAATTAAATAACAACAAAAATAATATGTTAAAATTTGTCAAATGTGGTGCGGCTATTATTATTTCAACCACTGTATTATTTTGATTGCCAACATAATAATTTAAAAAATAAAATAATAATATTAAACAAAAAAGAAATAAAATTAAACAAAAAAAAAAACAAAAGAATATCTAAAATTTAAAAATATACAAAAAAAAAATTAAATGCAAAAATAAACTGCCGGTTTCAGAGGCAAATAAATGAAAAATAATTTTCCTACCAGTTTTCATATAAAATCTAAATTAAAACAAAAAATTCCCATATAAAACTCAAAAAATTAAAATATTTTTTTACTTAAATTGCTTTCAATTGGTTGTAAACCTGCTTTCGTGAAACTGGCTATAACCATTAAAAATTGTAAAATGTAAAAAAGTTGCATAATAAAAATAAAATGCCGCAAAAGTATTTTCAAACTCATAAAATTACTGTTTTATTTATTGTAGAAAACTATATATACTAACTGCTGATTTTCTGAAGCAAATTCAAAAAAAAAATTCATTTTTTTTTAATTTTTGGATCACCCTGTGCAGCGCGGCCAAATTCCGAAAGTCAATTTGTCGAATTTACACCAGGCGCCCAGCAACCGGCAGCAAGACGCGCCGGAAATCCAACTGCACGCACACAAGCGCGCCGGTTGCACACGTACATGATTTGATGTTGCATACCTTCAGGCACCGGATGCTGTCGTCTAGCCAGCTAGGGCTTGCGCAAGCTGCAGGTACGCTAGAAACCGGAATTGAAGTGAAAACAAGGCGAAATTTCGTTTTAACAACGTAAATTTTATTAAAATCGTTTTTTTCTCACTTTTTTGCACATACTAAATTTAATGTGGTTTGTTGATGTTCAAAATACAAGTTTTACAATGTTTTTAAGATTTTATTTAATGTTTTAGTGCAGCAGTGCATGCGTTTGGGCGTTTTTAAGGATTCTTTACAAACTGCGAAGTGTGTATGTATATATTCATACGCGTAAAACTCTAGAGGTACTGAGAGGTACAGTTGCTTTAAATTTTTTCTGCGAATTATTTATTTTTTACTATTTTTAATGCAAATAATGTTATATTTGTTTAATTTGGTTCAGCGAATGGACCTTTTTTTGATATTGTATCAATTTACTACTTAAATTTGTTTCTAAATCTAAATTTTTTAGCGAAAAAATTGGGGTTTCTAGGCTTTGCTTTGCAATATTGAGATTTTTATATTGACGCCAATTAGAAAATAATACATATTGGCACACATTTAAAGAAAAAAATTTTTTTCTGCTTATTTTTTCTTCAAAAAAAGACATATTTTCGGTAGATGAGTATAGTTATGTGCTCTATGACTTTGTGCTAATTTGGACTTAGCACACGCAAATGACTAAAAAATTTTTAAATTATTTCTTAGGTTAAACAAATTTTTGGAATCTAAAATTACGTAACTGCTCAGCACAACGTACGTACATATTTTTACAGTAGTAACTATAAAAATTGCATTTAGATTTCAAAAGAAGTTTAGACTTCTTGTTCAATATACTCATACAAATGTTTTTAGTTAATTTAAAAATCCATGTGGCTTCCAATATTTTTTCGCACCGCTGTGTTCAGCTTTTTACAGCTATTTCTACGCTGTTAACTTTTAAATTAAATTTTAAATTACATAAAATTATTTGGTATTGCATAATTTGCTTTAGGTCTTCGCTTCTTTTCTTTTATTTTTCTTTTTTTCTGATTTCTTCTCTTAAAAATACAAAGCTTTTATATTTAACAAAATTAAACTATGTATATAAATAATACAAACTAAAGCAAAAGTGTTAAACAATGCATTAATATCAGTTTAAAGATGTATTCAACGTTTTACATTGACATTCTTCTATGTCTTGTTTTTATACAACTCCTAAAAAAAAACTAAATAAAAAGAATTCTACAGTACTTTGCTTAATTGCAATAATCAATGATTATTGTTTCTTCTCTACATACATATGTATACAACTAAAAGTTTCTTATTTTCTAAAAAAAAAAAAATAACTTTAAATAAAATCACTACACTTTAAATAGTGCAAACAAACAGAAATAATAAAAAAATGGCTGCTTAAAAAAACAACTTTGTTATAAGTTAACTTATCAATTTTAAGTTAATTGTTTCTTCTCCAGCTGACTAAACACTAAGAGCAAGCAAAATGGGTAATAGCTTTACTTGATTATATCAAAAGTTTCAACACTTTCTTTCCAATCTCGTTTTTTTCTACATTCCCCACTTTTCTACTCCCTACTACTTATTCNGTAGGTTAGAAAATTTTTCTTCATAGAACACTTAAAGATTTATTTGTGATTTTTCGATGCAAACGCTTTCAGTAAAGAATTGTTTTTAATGCATTATATTAGTATGTCATAATCTCGAGAACTGGATGCCTCGAAGCTCGATAATTTTTTAAAATAAGCGAGGGTAAGATTTGTTTTCTCATTTTCCAATGCATTTAAAATGTTGTCGAATCATCTACGTGACTGGAATAACTATAGTCAAAGTTTAAAAACTTAAGTTTTACTAAATTACTCACATACATTTTCAAAAATCAATCTTGAGTTTGAAATAAGGATTTGTTTGATAATTTAAGTTATTAACCTTCGACTATATTTGTTAATGGTTAGATCTGTGTAGTACTAATGATTGAATTCCCTATAGGAAAAAAACATAAAAAACTCAATGCAAGCAATCGACGGGGACAAGAAAAATATAGACGTAAGACATATATAAAATGATAAAATAATAACTAAGTTAAATATGTATAAGTTTTTGCTGTGTTAATAAAGAAAAAATATATGTAAATCGGGCAAAAGACAAGAAAAGTAACAAACCAACTAACAAGTTTACTATTATAACTTTTAAATGCCATTAGAAAATTGTTTCGTATAATTATTTTTATGCTAAAATTTTATTGAATTACTGTGATTAGTTGTGGGATTAATTAAAACCAGCTTAAGTAAAGATTTGCTGAATGATATATACTACAAATATACTATACTTTATTTCTATTGCTTTTGCTGTTGCGTTTTTGTTGTTGGTACTCACAAGCAAATTCTCATTGCCACAACACCAACTGAATGTAAGACATTTCACAGCAGTCTTTATATGCTTAGTAGCACTAGGACGCTACATAATGCACATATTTACACATTCATATGCATTATACAAACACACACACATGAGTTGCGTATGTGTGTAAATGTATTGGAGTATTTGTTGAATCACAAAAATGCACGCAGGCACAGGAACTTAGTATTTTTGTGGAGTGGGGAGTAGTGTTGCACGCACACACAAATTACGAACGAGTACATATAATTTTCATAAAAAGTAACAGAATACAAAAAAAGGAATAATAACAAATGTTAAAAAACGTATATGTTGTTTTTTTTTTTTGTTTTGATATGCAAATTTAGAAAAGTAAAAGATTTTTGTTTTTTTTTCACAGTGTATTCGTATTTAAACGCACTCAAACATACATACATGTTTATTACAAAATACTAGAATTTAATGTTTTTGTGGAACGGCTAATATAGTACATTATTCCAACAACAAATATTATACTGCATTGTGCGTCCAGTAAAGTAGTATTCATGCATTGAGGCTGTGGTGAGTGCAACTTGGCTTTTGCAAGTGTCGTCGCTGCTAAGAGCAAATGCGTGGAAGCAGATAGTGCCTACTTTTGTACAAAATTATTCAAACGTATATGTATGTATGTGTACCCAAGTACAGTTTGCTCAAGCTCTTTCATGTATTTAAAAAATGCCTTGTGTCGGGCAAAAGGATGTACATATCCGTCGTCTTCATTACAAAAGGCGCTAAATGGAAAATTTGCAATTTTACAGGACACGAAAAACTTTTAATATTACAATCTGAAATGCTATTATATCACTTTTAAAGATATCAAAAAGTCTCATATTTTTTTAGTATTGAGCGTTGAAATTTAGTATGAAGCTATTCTTTAAATAACAAATTTCCAAACAAATTCCAGATAGTACCTTTTGTTTTGACTACGACCAAGTATTCATTTAAAAATTGCTGTTCGATGGAGAAAGATGGGATTATTATTCTAACAACAAATTTCATATGTAAGTTTTTTGTGCATTAGTACTAGAATATTTTAGTTAGAAAATCAAAACAGAATAACAATAATTAAATTTAGGTTAGCTTCATTTACAACTACATTATTAAATAGTTTAATTATACTTTAAATTATAATGTATTTTTCTACCGAAAATAAAGGTGCATATACCGATATGGGCTCATTTAAATACGCGTGTATGTAAAAATGTGCTGATGATTTGTTTCTTCGCATATAAGCAAAAACTGTATGTAGCATGTAGTCTAGAAGTCTAAATAAATATGTATATGTATTCGTACACCAATTTCAACGAAAATTATAAAGCACGATAAAGCATGAGGATTTGAAGCAAAAATGTATGCTGATAGAAGAACCAAAATAATTTATTTCACAATTAAACAAATCTAAAATGTTGACACTGGCAGAATAATTACAAAATATTCAATATTCAAGGATCAACTCCAATAGCTTCATATCATAAACATGTATTACAAACGTACATATGTATGTACGTAGAATGCAGTATACATATGTACATATGTACAAAGCCAAAATATTTTTAATACAACTTTTGAGAGTTTCGCGTGTTTCTGTTTTTTTTTTTTTTGTAATTTAATGCATTACAACTATTGAAAAATTTCTTAACTAGCATTAATGTAAAACTTTTTACATTTCTTGACGTTAGACAATTGTTGTTATTAATTTAATTTGATCGGTTCGAGCCAAGTTGTTATTAGGAGGAAAGTGTAGATTTATATTCAACTGTTTGGACTGGTAGCCCTTTTTAAGTGAATTTCTAATCAAATATTTTCAATTCGAAAATTTGTATACAAAAGAACATCGTTTAAATAAAAATTATTTGAATTGTACACTAATATTTTTATTAATACCCATTATGCCATACAAACATGAAATTTTTTATCAGACGAGCATTAGAATTTATTTAAAAACTAAGGCTACTTCGTATACCTATAGGCAATTGTGAGTAAATAGCTACAACAACGCATGAATAATTCCAAAAAAAAAAAATTACGCTACCAAAAAAAAACTATCAGTTTAGCCACAAATGGTTAGACAATTGGATACAAAGTGGGAATTAAGCCGCCTAACCTGTGCGTAGTAATTTAGGGACTCAATACAACAAGGCGAAAAACTGTTTGCCGGCGTAGCGAACGCAGTTGATGCCGCTGCTATTTTCGTAGCCATTGACGTTGACGTTAGCTTGCTGGATGAAGCGAATGTGCATGAAGATGATGATGATGATATGCCTACACCTGTTAATGGATATGTATCGTGTTTCTGTTGCTGCTCTTGCGATGCTTGTTGGTCTAGTTGCAGTGGCTTTTCGCCATGTTTGCTTTGGCAATAATGAAGATATGGTTTTAGATGATGCGGATGATGCGGATAATGATGGTGATGGTGTTGGTGAAGTTGGTTTTGATCGTAGAATTGCGTTGTTGGCACCTGTTGTTCATAAGCTTGTTGTGGCTGCTGCATGAATTGTTGATGTTGTTTTTGCTGCTGCTGTTGCTGTTGCTGATATAACAGCTCGTCTTGTTGCTGTTCTAGTTGCTCCTGCGTTGCAAATATCGTCGGCATTGGCGTTGGCATAGACGCCACATTGCCAATACTGTTATTATTTGTGTTTGTTGATAGGAATATAGACGGACCAGCCGTAGAATTTACATACATATTGCCATTGCTTGGATAATTGTTTTGGCTATTATTGTTATTGTACTGCGGATAAGTGAAAGTACAATTCGAAGTAGTTGTTGTGTTGAAATTTGAGGTTGTGGATGGAGTATTCTTAATGCTATGATTATTCGCTTGTTTGCTTAAGTACAAGTTTGTCATGCTGTTGCGGTTGTTGTTGTTGTTTATGTTAATGGAGTTATTAGAGTTGATATTGGTGGAATGTTGTCTGCTGTGGCTATTGTAGCTCGTCAAAGTTCTACTAAAACTTGGAGTATAATACAACTGATTGCCATTGCTGCTGGTGTTGCGAATATTTTGCGATTTGAGCTGATAGGTGGTGCGGCCATCTGAAGACGATTCAGGGCATAAAACCTACAAGTAAACGAAAATAAACAGAGAGAAAAAAATACGCCCGGGCGGAAGACACAGTGAGAGAGAAAGAGAGAGGAGGAAGTTTGATGAGTTTGACGATTGGAAATGTGCATACAAATTGATTTTTTTTTTGCTATACATTTTCTGTTTCTAATTTTGGTTGAAGATAAACGCACGAGTGAATGCTCAGACTGGGTGGGAAAGGTGTACGAGGACGCAAAGTAAAAAATGCTAATGACTTATCGTGTGTCCTACCGAAACCAACGTTGAAATGACATCCTTAAGTCTAAGATTGCAGCACAAAATAATACTCGGAAAGTTGTTGAACTGTGCTGCACGTAAGTGCCACTTTTTGTCTAGATTTAGGTAAATACAGTGACGGCCACTTGAATAGCGCCCTCTTTCGATCCTGAGTATTGATAGTTTTCCTTTTTAATACTCATTATTTTTTATAAAAATACAACCAAAACCATGTAAACCCGATTTTCGAAATTTTTATAAACAAAATTTATAATTCAATGAGTTTTCATCAAAACTGCAGCCTTTTTTGTTCCATATGATGTAGCAATAACAAATCAACGGTAGTTATTCAAGGCGAATTCGCATAAGGTGCTGTTGCTAGAACAGCTGCTTTAATTTGCCTCGGTACACAGATGTCAAAATTTCTTATGAATGAGCGCGAAAGTGAGAGTGTTAAAATTTTATTTCCATCTTCTTCCTTGAGCGACGATTAGTTGAAAATTGACATTTTAGTACCGAAGGCAAAAGCAAAATACATGTAATTTCTTGTTCTACCGCTACCACCTTATATGAATTCGCCTTGGTAGTTATTGATGAAAAAGAGGACCTTATTTAAGTGGCCTGCACTGTATTTAAGTGCGAGTCCAGACCATGCAGACATCGTGTATTTTCTCTTAAATTATTTAGTGATTCATGCCCGAGTTCTCACAATTGAAATTTTTCTTAAAATGAACTTTTTGTTGTCTCGAATTCGAATTTTGTCAGGCTTTTGCACATCGTATACTTTTGGTTATTATATGTAAGCAGTATGGACGTATGTATTGGATTTCGCTGGAAAACAAATGAAATAATTTATAGCTGAGAAATCATCCTTTACAACTTCCATTGAGGAGATTTTCACTTGTTTAGATTAAAAAAGGGTTTATGTGAAGGCACGCTTCAGATTGCGAAATCACAGATTTGTGAACTGTATATAAATGTTTCTTAGTTTCTTGTGCAACTATATATGTATAATAAAGGAGGAATTCACTTAAGTCTCGACACTTTGACTTAAATTTCAAAATGTATATGAAACTTTTAAGGCGAGATTCAACTTTTTTTGAAATTTTCTAGTTCAAGGGAATTGTCCGAATATTTTTTTCTTGCTTTTCTTAAATTCTCTAACAAAGTTATTTTTACTTTGTCTTTCTTGCGCGTATTTGCAAATTTTATAATGTACACATTTTTTCTTTGGATTGCCAATTATACATTTATGAATTTTAATTTTGTTGACTAATTTTAAATCGAAAATCTATATATGCACCTTTCAGTAATTGAAAAAAAAAATAAATATTTGCGTAAAATAATATAATAAACATACATATTTTAATGCAAAAACATGCACTTTATTCGAAATTCTGGTTAAAAAAATTAATCCATCATGCAAACGGCAAAATATTTTTATAAATTTTTATAAAATAATTTTCCGAAAATTCTCTTTACAAATTTTTAACTGAGCAAATTACTCTTGAAAGCTAATTGAGAAGCAATACTACACAATTTGTGATTTTTAGGTGTGAGCGGAGCGTCTAAATTTTATTGGAGCTGTGTTCACAAACTTATAAAAAAATAAATCAATCAAACATAACGATATTTAAAATTTTGTCTCCAAGTATTGCCAACAAATGTCCAGCATTGTGAATTATGACTTTCCTCAACTTATTTGTAAATATTACACCGTAAAAATCATAAATGTATTTCTTATTCAACAAAAGAGCATTAAAGATAAAAAATACAGCTAAAACCCAAAAAAAACTGAATGAATGGGACGTGCACAAACTATATATGTACATAACAAAAAAAAAAACGCTTACAAAAAAGAAGATACACAACAAAGAAAACAAAAAGAAAAAAGTTCCAAGATATGATAAAAATAATGCATGAAATAAAAGAAAAGCATTGCACACAGCGTTCGATAAGAAAATTGTGGACTTTTTCTTTAAAAAAAAATGATTTAACAAGTGTTTGAAAAGTAAATACAACAGCTTTATTACTTGATATGAATCGAATAGCCTTTTTGATATGAAGTGCAATGCCAATTAGGAGATTTTAGGTATTCCCTTAAATTCCTGGAAACCTGGAGATAGACATTTTGACAGCGCAATAAGACATTTTGACAGTGCAATAAGATTTTTGTGTTTAAGTCAGTTCAAATGCTAAACTAAAAGTCGCTTTCCTTTTTTTCATAGCTTCCGGCTGTGTGCAATGCAATTATTTCCTTATTTCTTTAATACTATACAACCAAATGCATGTAGTTAGGAGAGCAGTCAATGCAGCAATAAAAAAAGTGGTTAATCTCTAAATTGGTTTTATTAGATTAATTTTAATAAGTAATAGGAAATTTGGTAGTGTAGAAAGATCAACACAATCACTCTTTGTTTCTTTGTAGTTGTGCTATTTATAAAGTTAGCTATGTAACAGTAAGTAGTATTATTATTGTGATTATAACTATGCATGTTGTTTTTGTTTTTGTAGCTGTTTTTTCTTTGGTTTCTGTTCATAATGCAGAAACATTTCGTTACCAGTGCAATGTCATTGATGCGACTCATTCTCCTAGATTTGGTGGATAGGCTGCGCTTTAGTCCATCGATATTTTGCTCGAATAACTTTTCGAGTAATACGAACATGATTTTGATTGTTTGATGAATTTATTATATGGATTTAAATTTGTTAACCAATAAATGTTTTTTTAAATGTGAAAAATTTTGAAATTTTAATTTGTATGCGAATAATATATTTAATTGTTGGTGACGTATAAATTTTTGGCAATCACAAAATTTTGTACGACGGCCGAATTCGGTAGTAAATTTTGCGTAACGTTTTATAATTGCAAGTGGTGGATGAATGAAAGAAAAAAGAAAGAAAATCAAAGTTAGAATTTATGAGAAAACAAAGAATATAGTTTTCAAAAGAAATTTAAGAATAAAAAACCAAACTTTGGTATGGGTGATAAGACAACTTAAGTGGCCAGCAGAAATGTAAATTCGTATAGTCATGTAATAAAATAATAGTTATATGTAGATACTGTGCTAAATGTTCTATAAAAATAGCATATAAATACCTAAGAAAATAAATTTATTATGCTAATAAAGGATGTTTAAAGTATTGAGTGTATAAAAAAAAGAATATAGGTGTGACATATTAAAAAGCTAATGGCGCATTGGAGTTAAAAAATTGTACTTGTTTACCGGTGTACGCAGATAGAGACAGAAAGAGAGGAAGAGTGTCATCAAACTATAAGTCGCCGCTATGAAAAATCGTTTTATAATACACATTGGTAAAACTATAATTCGTCTTAATCTTAAGCGAAATTCGTATTGTGGAAAAGTAGAGGGGTGAGCAAACAGTTTATGTGCGTTTTTAACTAAATATTGTTTTTTTTTTCAAATCTGCTTTTATTCTATAAATTATTTTCTCGCTAAGCAGCTTCTGTTGACTTACCATTTGATTGAAGTACGGATGCTTTAATATTTCTTTCACTGTAATTCGTTTGGCTGGGTCGACGACTAGACATTTGCGAATCAGATCTTTTGGATCCTCTGTTTGTAACGAAAAGTTGAATTATATAATAATAATTATTATTGTATATGTTGGATTATTGTAAAATATTTATTTCTTGTTACCTGATATATCAGCCCATTCAGGCGAGGTGAAACTATATTTGCCCTCCATTATATTGCGCAGCATAACCATCTGTTTACGGTGCCAAAACGGCGGACAGCCAACCAGCAATGTGAACATAATAACTCCGCAGGCCCAGCTAAGATGGTAAATATCAAAGCAGTGGGAATAAATACTATCTGTGTACATGGATGCAGGATGCCTTCGAACTCGAAAATATATTTCATACAAATTATGTGTTCAGCCAAATGTTTCGATATTTTCGAAGCCATTTTCAGCTTCTAATAATCCAAACTTTATAAGTTTTATTAAACTGTCAAATTTTGTATGAAATATATGTGTATGTAGTTAAGAGCGTCCAACCATAAAGCGTTTTTCTAACGGGGCGTCTCCACAAGCAGTTTTTTGTCTCATAATGTTATCAGGAAATATTTTGACAATGGAGACCCCGCTTATTGCTCAAGGCAAGCAATAATTACACGGTTCAACAAAATTTGGTCGTATTTTACCTCAAAAATGGGGCCGACTTAATCTTATAGTTTTTTTGATGCTGATATCAAGTGCATTTACAAAATTTTTCTAACACGTCCAGCTTTGAGAAAAACCCTTTTGAAGTTTCGAAAAATGGCATATTTAAAAAAAAAACATTTAAAAATACAATATGGATGTATTTTTCCGAAGNTGAGAAAAACCCTTTTGAAGTTTCGAAAAATGGCATATTTAAAAAAAAAAACATTTAAAAATACAATATGGAGGTATTTTTCCGAAGAAAAAAAAAAACACGTATTAAAAAAAATCCAATTCGTCTGATAGATTCTACCTCATGTCGATGGATTTAGTAGAAAGTGGTGAAAACTTAAAAAAAAAATTACTAAAAAAAACACTAGCGAATAACATGGCGGACAATTCCACCAGGACATAGCTACTATGGAGGATCTGTATGATAGGAAATCAAACCTCTATATGCTTGCTGACTATTTCTGGACCTTGAATGATGATAATGCGATCCACAAAAAAAAGATGTTTTAGGATTTCATTCCAAAACGCGGAAAGTGTTAAAAGTCAAAATACTGACTAATGATGAAACTGGGATATTGATTTTTACCCCTCTATTCTAACAGAGTCACAAAACTTAGCTCATCACTGTTGTGATTTCTAGTGCGCCGAGAAATGTGTCACAAAAAATTCGATTTTAAGTGCTAGAAAAATACACAAAAATTTAAAAATTTGCATTGTAGCGGCATATTTTTAGCAGCGGCAAGCTTTGAGGCGCAGTACAAATCACAGCAGTGATGAGCTAAAGTTTGTGGCTTTGTTAGAATACGGCTGTTAATGTCGATTTGTTCATGAAATCACTTCCTTTTTAAAATAAATTCACAGATTGGGATTTTCGTATTTGTGGGAACACAAGTGCATGCTATTGAAGAACTGAGTCTTTTATAATTTTTCACTCATTTCTAGTCAACTCATCGAGATGAGGTAGAATCCATCAGGCGAATTGGATTTTCAATAATAAGTGTTTTTTTTCTTCGGAAAACTGCGTCCGAATTCTATAATTTATTCTATTTTTTTTTTTTGATGTTTGCCATTTCTCGACACTTCCAACAGTTTTTTTGTAAATGCACTTCAAATCAGCATCAAAAAAGATCAGGTCGACCCCGTTTTTGCGATAAAATACAACCAAATTTTGTTGAAGCGTGTTATCAGAGCTTTTATTATGATAAATATTGCCACCAATTTGGTAGTTTGACAGCTACATTTTCATTTGCGCGAAACTTCGTGGCGGCAACATTATTGATATTTTAATATAAAAATAAAAATTGAGCTGTTTTTATTGAAATAATTGTTATTATGAACTTGAATGTAAAATAGCATATTTTCCAAATTTTTCAAGTGATTAAATCCAGCAAAAATGCTTGTTAGAAGCCATCTTACAAACTTACATTGCTTCTGATAAAATTTTAATTTTAAAATTACTGTTGGTAGGCAAGACGCGAAGTTAGAAGTAAACCTGCAAGCCCAGTAAAGAATGTATACTTACATATCAACTTCTTTGGAGTAACCTGGCGAACCCTCAAACATATTACATTTAAGCGTTTCCGGCGCCAAGTAGCCAGGTGTACCACAGAGGTCTAAAAAGAGAGACGGACACAGTTAGCATAAATAATTGAAATATAACACCGCTTATGAATGCGCTCACTCACCTGTTAATTTCTCTTCGTCTTTCAGTTGCCGCGCGAAACCAAAATCTGTTATCTTAACATTATGGTTCTCATCGAGTAGAATATTTTCGGGTTTCAAATCTCGGTGCACAATATTTTTTGCGTGTATATACTCAACACCTTCAAATATTTGTCGCATTATTGTGCGGGTCTTCTTCTCGGACAACGTTACAACTGAGGTGAGGTAATCGAAGAGTTCACCTTTCGGACATAACTCGAATACTAAAAAGACGAAGGCATCCGACTCGAAGACATCCTGTAGGTCAACTGAAAGAAGTTTGAAAATACGAAAAAAAAAAAATTATTTGCAATTTTTAGATATAAACTTTTTTACTCACTTATATAAGGATGCCCCATAACTTGTCTGAGTATTGAAATTTCTTGCCTTGTGGCTTCAAGCATATGATATGGATTTGTTTCGCCGGCTTCGGTAGCCGCGCCAAGATCGATGATTTTTGCGGCAAACTCTTTGCCTGTCTCTTTTTCGATGCAACGGCGTACTGTGGAGCTGATGCCTCTGCAAAGGAGAATAAAGAAAGGGAAAGGTAGTATTAAGTAAATGCGTGGAAACGCCTCATTGAATTACTTTAATGATAAAGAAAACTTTGTATAAAGGTGCATACATACATATACATTAGACTGTCCCAAGAATACATATATGGAAAAATATTTGTCTGTAAATTTTGATGTGCATACCCTGTATATTTGTGCTCTTTAGTCTAAATAACATATATGGGTGTTTCCACCGGAAGGTCCACCACGACAAAAAAAATAAAAGTTTTATATCTAACGTATTTACGGGCCGATTTGTCTGCTTTTTAAAATATATACTGGCTATGTAAGTAGAATCATGTTTGCATAAAATGGTTGTTGTTGTTGTTGTTGTAGCGGCTACAACAACCCCGCCCAGATCGGTTGGTATCTCAGTCGTTGTCGTCAAGTTCCACTAACGGCAACCCTAGGAAGCGTGCAGCTTCTGCGGGGTTTGCCCATAAGGACAAGGTCGTTAGGGATGTCGGGTTTGCCGGGCATGCGAAGAGATGTTTCGAGTCATGTGGGGTCTCTCCGCATGCCGGACATTCGTTCGGCACATCCTCATTCAGCCTACTCAAGTAGGAGTTTAACCTGCTGCAGTAGCCGGAGCGAAGTTGTGCGAGTGT